TGTGAATTACCATGCAAATTTGCATGGTGCCTTCATTGTAACAATCACCTATTCGACGTGCCGGTAAACCACATACGCTCCATCGAACTATGATAAACAATGAATCACTCTTTGCAACCTTTGCTTAGAACCAATTAGTGTGCCGGTAAACCACACACACTCCACTAACTTCTTAGCATGGGTGCAAAGTGTAATTTCATGGGATTGCATCAATTCACTTTTCTTAAAGTAACTAAGATTGGGAAATTTTGAAAACATGTAGTTACTTTATAGATTCATTATATTTATTAATGAGGAGAGAGAGTTGTCCTATCCTACCCGTTTGGCTAACGACCCTCCACCGATCAAGCAAACGGTGGGTGAGAGTGTTCACCCATTAATCACCATTTTATAGGCAGTAACCTTATACCCACCTTATAGACCGGCTTCGTGAATGAGCCCTACTAACGGTAAGACTAACATTTTAATTATACATACATACATACATATATATATATATATATATATATATATATATATATATATATATATATATTAGTCTTGTAATATTATATTAGTATAGGGTTGAATTTTAAACTTGTAAAATTCTAGGGTTTGAAATTTAAATTTTCCTAAAATTAAACTTTTAATCACAAAATATAAATTTCAAAACTTGAGGGTAAGTTTTAAACTTTTAAAACATAGAGGATCAAATAACAAATAATCTAAAATCACATAATTATCCATATTTGATTTATTTATGATTTCTTGCAAAACAATTTACCAACTAAAATAAAATAATTAATCAATTATCATATAAGGAAATTAAATATTTTATTAATTGATAAATATCTTTAATTAGATCAAGATTATAGTCATATATATCAAAAAATCGGATTAGGGTTGATCTAATATGATAAAGGAAAGTTTCCATAAGGTAAATAACAAGAAATCCCGAAGTTATCACATTCTGACGCTCGAACTCGCCGAGTACCACCATGGGACTCGCCGAGTAGAGCAGGCAGAGAATAGAAAAACGAATTTTTCAGTAACAAACAAGCAATCAAAGTATCAATTCAATAGAAACCAGTCTAGGCTCTGATACCATTGATGGGTTCTGGCCATATGAACATTCCTATGTGCACATGCAAACCCTAATGCTTGGATCTAGGTTTCTCTAATTGAACACACATTGAATCCAAGACTTCTAATGACTAATTGAGTATAAGAACAATACAAAACCAGAGTTAGAAGCTTACCTCAAGACACTTGTTTGATCTTCTTGTTCTTGGAGCTTTAGAGTCACAAATGTCACTCCTCTAATGGCTTACAAACACCAACTAGCAAGAGGATGATATGCGAGAAATGAGAGGGGATGAAATCGGCCAGGGTTTCTTTGCCTTTTCAGAGGTGCCGATTTCCCTTGCCCAAAGGGTCTATTCATACTTGTAAGACTCCTAGAGTTTCACCCTAGCTGGATAACTATTACTCAAAGCAATCCAAATCCTTTCCAAGATAACCCTTGGACGAATTTATGGCTATCCTAAGCCCTAGAATTCATCCACCCCTTAACTTAAAAGGATATGGAGCCCAAAGTGCAACTATCAAACAATTGACAGTTTATACCCTCTTGTTTAATTAATCTCTTTAAGCCACCAAATTAATTCCTAATTAATTTATGACTTATATCAATCAAACAATAATATTATTATTCCTTATATTATACTTATAATATATTAATAATATTCCTTCTCTCATTATAAATCATCTTGTCAAGTTGCTATGGTGAAGGCAACCCAAAAGGACCATGTACAACCGGGTCAAATACTTGCCAAATATAGTTGTAGCCTTAGACACTATTCCAACAATAATTCCTCTTAGTGAATGGTCCTTAAAAAAACGAAACCCTGGATCGTTGACTAATGCATAAGATCTACAAGGTACTCGGAATCAAATAAACAAAATAAAACTCGAACCGATCTGATACTCTTACCTCAGAATGATTGATCTCCAATGAACTTGAGGATCGACGAACCCTAGAGGCGAAACGATGACTCTACGAACCTCATATCGAAGGAACAACGACCTAAGACCTTGAACCTCTGGATTGAATAGTGACAACTACTAGCTTCGTAAGTCGGACCAACATCTTCGCCTAGGATGAAACCCTGACTCAAGCCAAAGCCACCACTTGTTGAAGAACCACCAAAAAACAAGACCGAAACCCTAACATGGGGAAGAACAGGAACGATCCATAGATCAAACGACAACCATGGACTCTGATACCACATAAAAAATATGAATCGATCAACAATGATATACCAACATGAGCAAAATTTTAATTAAGCACCGACTGGTTTTCAATAGACTCTTTACAACTCAAATCCTTACTACAACTTCCTAACCAAGCTCTCTATGTAACACTCAACAATTACAGGAACAAAGAGAGTAAACACATGAAACCCTAATTTGAGAATGAAGACTCAACCTTTAACACTTGGGATATGTACTCGAAATAAGAGTTGACGAGAAAGATAAACCTACTCCATCTTTAACCGGCGTGTAAACATCTGAGTTCCTGAAAATGACAGAAACAACCTTCCTACAAACATTTGACATAAACAACCCTCAAACAATAAAATGTTAACAAATTAAACCTAATACGCTAAAATGTTGGTTTGAACACTTACATACTTCTAACCCTCACTAAAATATTTCAACACTTTCTAAAATATAAAGGAAATTAAGTAACCATCAAATCAATAATCAAGTAAAACCTTTTTCAAAATATCCTTGGATTAATCACCGATATAAACGATGTAACAGATAAATAAAACTTTGGTTTGATTAGTTTTCATATCCTTCTCTCACTCAAACAGAGGAAAAGGAAAAAGATGATTGACTGACAAGTGACAACCCCACATGATTCCATTTCACCCCAGATCATATAAATAAAACCCTTACCTGATATGTATTCGATACTGCCTATTCCGACCGGCCAACTACCATTTTGTTCAGAAAAATATCCACGCTGCCGGTGGGGCTTCATGATTCTACCGTCGATCTACACACAGTCCTTCCACCTTCTTCTCCGTTAGAACCCTAATTTACCAACCTAATTTATCAACCAATACACGCACAACCTAATAATTTCGTTATCAATAAACCCACTACCGGTGATGACGACAATAGAAGGGCAAGACAGAGTCTTGGCAACGAGGTGAAAGTGGTTTTAACTGGATTAGGTGAAGCTGCCATCGGAACATTCATGGAGTTCGAGAATGCCGTCAGCGGTGAGATTCATCCTGTTACACCGTATGTCATGAATTACATCAAGTTACTGGTATCTGGTGGATTATAGCGATTCGTTAAACACCCTTTTACCAAACATTCAAGAACATGATCCGAGCTTTAAAGAAGCTGATGATATCGACAGCGGTGATACTCTCTCCCCTATTTCTTGCCGTTTGCTTTCTCTAATCACTTGTTTAGAATCAAACCTGGATGAAAAATCAAAACTTTACGATGACAACATATTTTTGATGAACAACATTCCCTACATCGTTCGAAAAGTTAAAAACTCTGAGCTTTTGGGGAACAGATGGATCCGCAAACACCTAGGGCAAATTCGTCAATGGCACACAAGCTATCTCAGGGCAGCATGGGGGAAGGCGTTGTTAATTGGTGGTGGTGGGTCAAGTAACACATCGAAGCTGATTTTAAAAGAAAAATTCAACAACTTTAATGCGTGTTTTGAAGAAATTTACAGGGTACAGTCACTTTGGAAGGTTCCAGATGATCAACTTGGTGAAGAACTTCGAATATCAATATCTGGTATAGTATTCCTACTTATTTGTTGTGCAATGGGTTGTGTTTCAATCAGTTGACTGGCCATTGACTTTGTGTTTTAAGCTACTTTAAGTTTCATTTCTCTCCAAAACTTTTCAGAATAGTGTGTGTGAGACCTTAACGATTTGTATGTGTTCATGCTTCACTTTGGTGATTTCAAGTGTGTTCATAGAGATTATAACATTAAAGCTTGGAATTTAATGTAACTACAAATAACCCATCTTTATATTGTGAAACTGGTGCTAACTAAGGTTCACATATGATATATGGACTCCACTTGTTAATAATTTACGTGCATGATTAAATTAAGGATGGACTATGGAAAGATAAGCTACCTAACTTTCCACACTATGTTGACTTTATTCCTCAAATACTGAATATTGCTATGATAACATGTTTTGAGCTCCATTTGTTGATTATCTTATAGAATGGCCCAAGAACAATTGAATGTGTGTAAAATAAGTAAATGTTTGTGTTGAACACACTTGAATGTTGAAGTAAATGCTACTATAACTATTGTTAAACAATAATATTGCAACGAATGTTTCAGTTGTTAAAGTCAAACATTGACAATTATTTTGAAAATGATAATGGGCAAACTAAAGTAGGTAGAGTATATTATTCACACAAAAAGAATCATGGAATGACACTATTTATGTGTGTTATAAGTTAGGATGACGTCTAAGCATTCATCGACTCATAGTTGAATATTATTATAGATAAATGAGACAGAATAATAATTACTAAACAATCCAAAGGAGCTCCTCTTGGGTAATGATAATTGTAGAAGTTAGTAAAACTAACTTCCAAAGATGAGTACATATGGACTCTTCATGATAGGAATACTTTTTCTTTATTGTTCATGATAGCTAAATTCAAGATCAATTTTCCACTTCAGCCATGAATACAATCAGTAAACCAAGTTTTCTTCATCCATTCAAGTACACAAAAACCAAAAACAAACAAAACACTTAAAAATTAACAATAGACTCTTCCTCACAAAAAGTTTTTACCAGAAATCTTATATTTTTTTCCTAAACATTTCATTTCTCCAAACACCACCATGCCCCTACATCTCCCCTGAAGAAAAAAAAAATGTAAACTTTTTTTAATTAACAAAATCAACACAATAATAATAATTTAATTAGAAACAAAATGAAATTTACCCAACTTTAGACAAAATCAAAATCTTGTAGCTTTTTTGGTAGGTAGACTTCAGTTAGATAATTCATTCCAAAACAAGTCAAAGCCTGAATTTCTACATTCTCTTTCATCTCCAACATTGTCCTCAACTCGTTAGCCCACTCAGGCTTACTATTCACACATTCATCTTTTAACAGATTTTCAGTCATCTTAATATCATTCGGTGTCATTTGGATTCGAACATCTTTGGGGATATCAAACTTTGTTATATCAGAAGGTCTAATACCTAACCACTTGACATTCGGTGTGGTTAGGTGACCATTTTCATAAGATAAATTCTTTGACCCTGAAGCATATACCGACATTATCTGGATTCCATATAAATCACAGTCCATCAAAGACAAAACAGGTAATTCTAGTTCTATTTTCAACTTTCGTAGAAAAAGTCGAGTGGCAACATCCGGTTGCCCTTTACCCGTTAAAATTATGCATGGAAAACGATGATAGAATTTTTATGTGGCCAAAAGAGAAAAGATTGCATCCTTTTCAACCAAAAGTATGAAAGATGCATTAGAATGCTTAATTTCATCATTTTCCATGTCTCGAGGGATTGCTTTTCCCTCCTGACCTTGTTTTGTACAATAAAAAATATGACCATCTTCCTTAAAAATAAGATTTCCAACTACAACTCCTTTACTAGCAGGAAATATATTCAAGGAACCTCTCGTGCAATTGAGCATACAAGCAATATCTTCAATGATTGCATCGGAAATTGCTTGGTTTTTAAACAACTCGACATTCATGTAGAAAACATTTCTTTTGGTCATTAAAACATTATGTGCTAAAGCGTTTACGAGATGATTGACAGTATGCAAGATGTGATTGTAGCCCTATGAGACATTTTTAGGTTACGAAAGGAACACCGAAAGAGTTTCTCCTTAAGAAGGATCTGATCGTACTCCTTAACATAGATAACTGACTCGCGAGAGGGTATGCTAAAGTAATAGTTGCTCCCTTTGATCTTTCCCTCATACTTGAGTGCTTTTATGGCTCTTATGACCTCTTCAGGCTTTAACGCAGTAGCTTGACGGAACTTGTAATTATAACCAAGATCCGAGAGCGAACGCTTTGACCTAGTAGTATTTTTGGCTCGGGATTCCAAGATGAGACGTATTTGATCATCGTCTTTCAAATATCTTTTTTCGAAGGCAGGTTTCAAATCTACAATGCCAAGATTCTCCGCATCTAATATATTATCCTTGATTGTCATGTTTTTTCTCTGTTAACAAACACACACGCACACGCACAATTTGAGTTTTTAGATCAAAAAGACCAATTGTTTAACATACAGGTTTAACATTTCATTAAAAAAAACAAGCTCCTCTTATAATCTAATGCATTAAACAGATTTCAATCAAGTCATAGAAAAAATCAACATGTATGCCAGAAAAAGTAACAAAAAATCAGTAATAAAATCAAGTTAATGGAAAAAATAGTAATACAAAATCAATTAGCTTGTGAAAAAAAAAATCATAAAATTGATATAGATTTTCCATATAAGAAACAAATAAGGACGAAACACAAACATAACGGTTAGGGAACCGAAATTAAAACTTCGAAACAAAACTATATAAACAAGTTTTTGGTACAAAAATACGATGTAACAAAAGTATAAACAAAACTAATATAAAGACACGCCTAAATTAAATTCATAAATCAATAATTAATAAATTTACTTTTTATCATTAATTTTTGTTTCTAATCATATTGATGAAATATTTTATTTTCGATAAAATAATATAACGTGTATACAAATTTTAATTACTTTCATATTGTAATAATAGACTATATTTTTATCTTTCTATCGTTTTATAGATAAATCAAAATAATACTAATACAATTCATTCTACATAAATAATTAAATTTAACCGATAGGTAAAAGTATATCTCCTAATATTTTAGGGGGTGTTTGGCTTGGTTTTTCTGGGAGCAAAAGTTCTTTTTGGAAAAGTCACAAAAAATCAGGTTTTCCTGACTTTTCCAAAAAGTTCATTTTTACTTGTATTCAAATCCAAAAGTAGCTTCTAAAATGCATTTGCCAAACATCTTTTGCTTTCTATCTTTCTCTAAAAAGACTTTTGGCTTCTAAAAAGCTAAGCCAAACACCCTCGAAGAAGAGGGGGTGTGTGGGTTTATTTGATTTTTTTTTTTCATTCCTTCGCCGGTAAATCTGATTCCATTACAGTAAGCTTTTTAAGGATTTTTGGGTTCCTTGGAAGACTTACTTAATCTACATGTTTATTTTTTATAAAAAAATTATATTTAAAGTGTTTGTATTTAGAAAAATAAATTTTATTTAATATTAATTGATTTTGTATTAAAAAAATATAATTTAATTGAATTTAAAAATGAAAAAAATAGAATGCTAGGAATGTTACCACTCTCTTACAAATGCTAAGAATAAGGTGCTAAGAGAGAAAGATGACGTGACACACAAAAAATATGTGGCAAGGTGCTAGGAGTATTACCACTCCTTTTAGTGTCTCAAAATGTACATCAATCATGGAATTGAACTTGCTTCTATTAAACTCATCCTTGTGAATCAAGGTTTTGAAAACCGGACCGGACATCAAACTAGTTGTCTTACCGGTTCGATGGTTCAACTGGTCCGACCGGTCCAACCGGTAAAAAAACCGGAAAAACCGGATATATATATATATATATATATATATATATATATATATATATATATATATATATATATATATATATATATATATATATATATATGAAAAAGAACTATTATTAACTATTATCCTAAACAATTAAGATGACGATTTGAATATTGTTGATAATTATATTTCAAATATATATTCTTGCGTATTTTTCAACATGTAGCTTCTTGGTTAAATGGTTAAGTTAAGGATATTTGAAAGAAATAGAAGTCCCTATTTCGAAACTTGTCTCCACATGTTATTTTAATTTGCCAGCAATTTCTTCTATCCCACATCGGTCACTTGATAAAACCTACAACCATTTAATCTTCTATAAAAGGATTGCCAATTTCCTTTTATCTCTAAACTAGGAGTTGTCCCACATTGGTAGGGAAAAGAAACACCCGTTGGTTTGATCATCCATATAATGATAGTTATTGGACAAGCGACAAAAAGTTAAAGAAAAACTGGTTACTTAGTAGGTTGGACCGGTCCGGTTTAACCCGGTTTTCAACGAACTGTCCGGTTTAATACCGGTTTTCGGTTAAACCGGTTCAACCGGCCTATCCGTTCAGGTTTTCAAAACCATGCTTGTGATACAAAAAACAATATCCCTATTTTAATAAAATAATAGTTTTATTCTCCTTTAACAAAACTTCAAAAATGGTCCCTGTAGTTTCCGAAAAACTAAAGTTTAGTCCCTAATTTATAAAAACCTCACAGATGGTCCCTGTGGTTTCAAACTTTTAACAAATGGTCCTTTTCACTAACCCCGTTTGCTTTTGGCCGTTAAGTGAAGGGCATTTATGTCTTTTCACTACCACAAGGACCATTTATGAAATTTTTCCATATTTAAAAAAATATGAATATTTAATATTAAAAGGTTCCAACACCTCTCTCTCTCACACACATATATATATATATATATATATATATATATATATATATATATATATATATATATATATATATATATATATATATATATATATATATATATATATATATATATATATATATATCCCCAAATCGATCAAAGGAAGGAAATGAAAGCGAAAAATAAATACGATCAAAACAATTGTGCACCTCCGGTGGTTCATCTTTGTGTAAAAGGGAAGACGAAACCAGAAGCCCAATCAGATGGATTCGTTGAGGGATTTAATTGCAAAGAGGAGGGAGCACCTCCATTGCTCAGTTGGTCCGAAGAATAAAGAAGGGACAAAGCAACAAGGCTACTCTCTTTCTTCCTCGGAAAGGAATGCGAAATGGGAGGGGAAAGGTGGTATGGCGGGGCACACAATCAGTAGCAGCAGGTGAGGGGTTTTGTTTTGGCTTTCTGGGGAATCTGTGAAAAACAAAGGGAAAATAAGAGGGGCTGTTTCCCTATGATATCGCAAGAAAATCTCCACCTGAAACTCGATGGATGAAGCAGGATATGGCGTGGGATCTGCTTGGGATTCAAAAACAGAAGGAAACAGGAGGGAAGTCGGAGGATCTCGGCTACCTTTCTTCTCTGGTGAACAAAACTTACTATCTTGTCCGAACTGGTGAAACAAATCACAAGTCGTCTTCTTCACTACTGTTACATAATCATTCACTGGAGGTTTGCAAAATCAAATTAAACAAAGTATAGGTGAAACAAAGGATAATTCAGATCAAATGTTGTATGTTGTCATGTACCAATTTAGTCAATGGGTGGTGCAAAGCAGGTAAGAACTGGTTAATAACTCGTGCACACTATGTGTTTGTTGAAATGCTTGAGCACAAATCAAACCTAGTGCAGATAAAGATATTTTGCGTAGCTAAGAAATCATTTTCCTGATTCATTTTAAAGTTAGTTCCCCCGTTTTTGTTACCATAATCGTGGATTCATATAAATATTTTTGGAGATGATGTTTCGTCATTCTCTTCTTGATGAACATTGTTTTGCTGATGAACTTGTAATCTTGGGTTTAAACAAAGATTCATTGTGTTAAATCGGTGGCTTTGGGAAGGTCCTTCAAGTGTGTATGTGTATGAAATATGTCTATGTGGTTTAAGTATTCAGAGGCTCTTCCTCAGCAGTTAGAGATATGTGAATAGAGATGAAACAGTCGATAGGGTGGGGGAATGAGGTGGTGAAAATAGAATCTCATATTCCTCAAAAGAACATGGAGCATCATAACACTCTTCGAAGTCATAAGTGATGGTTATGAGTAGTGGTGGTGAGGACATCTTTATGATATTAGCAATATCCATTTTGCATTAACCAACTCAGTGGTATAGAGGTTGTATGAAACAGTAATTTGTAATGAATTACAATCATGCGTATTTCCTAATGTATTCGAAATTTCTAATAGGAACATACATAATCTATGGTAGCTAACTAAAAATCATACGTGATTGATGTTTATGAGTGCTAGAGTTTTATGAGTATTTGTAATATTTACATCAGTTTTCATAAGATAGTACTAGTATCCTTGTGAGTTCTTAAGTTTTTTCCTTGTAGTTCTAAATTGTGTAATCTTATTTGAGTCTGTTAGATACTACAAGTGTTTAGCCTATCAATTATTGTACTCAACTTTAGTAGTGCATTTGGTATGACCATAATAAACCATAGTTGATCAATCTACGTTTAGTTGTAGTTCTTATATAAGCGTTCACATCGTGGGCCTGAGTTTATATATATAAATCTATATATTGATTTTGTTGTGTGTAATATTTATATATATATAGAGCACCAAAACCACCAAAATGAGCCAAAACCACCAATATGGATTAGGGTTAGGGTTTCTGAGGTTTGAGAGTGATGGAGGTTGAAAAATGAACCCTAAATTCGAGTTTAGGGAATTTAAATACGAAGGAGACCCTAAAAGATCATGGGCTTGGGTTGCAGCTCTTGTCATGTCGTGACCACATACATGTCACCTCGTGACTAACCTTTAGATACGCGTTCTTCATTCACCTGGTTATGTCGTGACCTCCCCATGGTCACGCCGTGACACATGATTTTTCCTAAAAATCATGTCTTTAACTCCTTTATGTCGTACTCTAATCCAATATGGAAAACGGGTGTTACAACTCTCCCCCACTTAAATTAGATTTCATCCTCGAAATAATTATTTGTAACTTACTCTACTACGCTAGCCGAACCCATCTGAACTTTCCTGAATTTGAAATAGAACTGAGAAATCATCTCACACAGACGACTACCTTTCAACACTGCTACCGAAACCCAATCATAGTAGAAATCAAGCATTCTGACGAAGGAACGAACTTGACACGCTGCCTTTAACCAGCAAAGGGAAAAACCAATTACCCCGCCCAAAATTTGAAAACTTCACATAATCCTAACTCGCAAATAGATAAAGTCATTCATACCACATCTAGAATGACTAAAATCCGCAACCTGAACCAACCCATACCCCTCCGACCATGAAAGATCTCAATTGTCTGAAATACCAAAAATTCCATAAACTTACACTGCAACTTCCTCATACCCATTGGGCTGAAACCATCAAAATCAATTTGGATGCTAATCCTCCAAGAAGAACATTCAGTTCAATCCCACCTAGGG